ATTCCCTAACACTGACTGAATCTCATAGGATCCAGGCCCCTTATGTCTCCCTTTGTGCTCACGGCACCAGAACAGATGTGCTTATAGCACCAGAATACATATATAGTGCTTATAGCACCTAAACAGATTTCCTCGGATCCGGAACAGAACAGAATTCAGATTGAGCTCATTTCAGATTTCCCAGACACTAACTGAATCTCATAGGATCCAGGCCCCTTATAACTCCCTTTGTATAGCATATACAAATAGCATATCAATTCAGAGAAATCCAGACAAAATCAGAAATCAGACAAAAATCGGGCAGCACAACGGCAGTATACGGAATTTACACAATTTTTCCTGAAAATCAAAATTCACCAAATTTGCACAGAATATAGATAACAACATTTCAGAACATTTATTCTACTGCACAGACAATTTTCACTTTCACAGAAAAATCCAATCGACTAAAAACACCTCGACTTTCTCTCTCCTCAAGATATTTTTATTTTAATTTCTGATTTTCTCTCTCTTCAAAACGACTGATTTCAGCTTTATAATACTCAGATCGGCCCGGCCGATCGCCAGATCATCCCAGGACGATCAGACCAAATTTGATCGTCCTGGACGGTTCCTAGGACTATTCTCCGGCCGATATTTTGAACAGTGCACATCGGCCTGGCCGATGCCTCAATCGGCCTGGACGATGCCTACAGAAAAACACCTGGAGCAAATCTGGGCAAATTCTGGAGCAAATTCTCAACTGATCGTCCCAGGACGATCCCAGATCGTCCTGGACGATCCTGGAGCATATTTTGATATTACACAAACCGACAGTTAGTTTCCAGTGGTCATAGCGCCGGTGACCGCCGGTGTTTTTACCTAATAACATACATTTTAGTTACCTAAATTATTGAGGTGGAGACGGCTTATTGAGGTGGAGATGGGGCGACTGTCGGAAGGGAGAGAGAGGACGATGCAAGATAATGCTTAGGTTGCACATGTGGAAGTGTTATTGAAGGTTTTGAAGTAGACGATTGATGGTGTTGGAGGCATTGCTGTTGAGAAGGATATCACCAACATAGATCAATATGTTGATGGTGTTGTTTTGGCTATAAAGCATTATAGACGGATCAATTGTATCGGTTTTGGACTCAATTTGGTGAATGTGAGTGAAGAAAGTAGTGAACCATTGCCTCATTACTTGTTTGAGATCTTATAGATCTTTTTGAAGGAGGCATACATGGAGAAAATAATGTTGTAATTTCTTGAGATTATTTAAGAGACTAAACAATCTTCAATTCTTTTGTGCCCATAGTCAATAACAATATCTTAATGAGATAAACATGACAAGTCTAAGATCTCTAAATTTTAATATAATTAAGATACTAAGGTGCCTAATATATAATGCGTGATCTAAGGGGATCAAAACCAATCATATTTAGGATAGGTTAGGATGAGGCCGTAAGAAGGATTCCACAAGGGAGAATGCAGAGCTCTATCTAGTAGCATTTGACATCCATCATTAATGCTTGTTGTCATCACCAAGGCCAAAGTTTTCCATCTCCAACATCATCAAATTCCACCAACACTAACAACGCCGATGCTCGCCATCACTAACAATGTCAACACTTAGCCTCACCATAAAAAAATGGCATTCACCCTCACAAGCACTTACTATATACTAATAACTTCAACATTGTATTATCAATACCAAACTTGATGCTTGTAAGCACCAAGAATTTTAATGATTTCCATGTCTAATGAGGTTAAGCGAGGTATGTCATTGCTAACCCTAGAACATCTTTTCACCATCAATGACATTATAAAATAATGTTATAAAAATCATTATATGTCATTGCTAACCCTAGCACATCTTTTCACCAACATTATATTAGCAATACCACCCATATTGATGTCCATCATTGCCACCAATTTCAATGCATACTATCACAAGTAAGATATATATACAATATTGTCATAAACGCTGAAGCCTAATTACATTGCTACGAATGAAAATAAAATAAAAAAAATAAAACAAAACAAAAAAATGCAAACCTACGGGATTCGGATGACGGGTTCACGGAGGAGTTGGTGAGAGCTTCGACCTTGCTTTGATGCCGGAGCAGGGTCAGGATCTTCGGCCTGAATGAGCTTGTTGGCGACAGCTGGAGGAGCGTCTCGATCGCGTGAGAGGGCGGAGGAGACGGGGTGACTGTCAGAAGGGAGAGAGATGACGATGCGAGCAAATGAAATGGAAGGCTGGAGAATGCTTATTTTAGGGCTTTTTCTGGCGTTTCTAACTGCCGTAACAAAATAACTTATTACCGGTTGTTTAAATCGTTGGTATATCACTTGTAATAACTAATACCGACAAAATAACCGGCAGTTATTTAACCGCTGCTAATGTCGGCGGCAATCATTTAAAAAACTGTCGATTAGATAACCGCCGGTCAGGACCACCACCAGTAATATAAGAATTTCCTGTAGTGGATTACTTGCTGAGCTATGTACTCATTATGTGGTTTTTATATGTTTACAGGAAATGATAAGGACCTTATGGCATGAGGCACTAGACAACAAACATAGTTTTCTTTCTACACCATTAGTTTAATTTTATTTTAGTTATTTGATTTGTGTGCATTCATTTGTAGCCAATGTGGTTATTGTGCATATAATTTTGGGTCTAGATGTAGTATGTAAATATTGATTTTAGTAAATGTGAATTATGTTTTACGTTGTTTATATTTTTTAAATATAATGAATCAGCTCTGTATGTTAAATTGATCTTGGTGTAAATAACTATTAACTACTACTGTGAATTAAGAAAGAAATAAAGGAATGAAGAGAGAAATAGAAAAGAGATTCTTCGACTTTAGGTCCCTGGTCGTGATAGATGCAAGAGTTATAACAGACACCAAGATTTTTATTTGGAAAATCCAAAAAATGGAAAAACTACAAGGGCATGGCCCTGTTAAAATGATTCTACTAGTATTTTGTAATGGGTTACAAATGATACCCTTCCTCGGGGGAAGGTTTGGCCCAATGTAGAAAATATACATCATATAGAGCACATTATATGTTGAGAGTTGGACTAGTGATATGAGAGATGTTCTAAAATGAACAATAACCTGCTTGTTTGGTTGGTAGGACCATAGTTGGGTGACGGTAGTTGGAAGGGTTACAATGAGGTGACTAAGATAAAGAGGACTGTTGTCAAGTGATAGAGGTTTGAGGGAGCGTAGTCGAAGACGATAGGCTACAGAGGTCAGAGGGATCAATGGGTGACGAAGGCCAGTGGGCTACAAAGGTTGAAGAGATCGTAGTTGGCAGGCAATGGTGTTTAGAAGAATTGTAGTCGACTGGTGATGTTGGTTGAAAAAACTGTAGTTGCTTAGTGATGGTGGTCAAAAAGATAATTATTGGGGGGCACTAGTGGTTAGACGAAGGCCAATGCATTGGCTACCATATAGAGTTCTGACAAACGATGGTCTGACAGAGGTCAAGCAGAGGCAACTTAGTGGATCGGGTTTACTAATGGTGGTGCCGGAGTGGAGCTATGGGATTCTTCAAGCCTTGGAACACTCTTGAGTCTCAAGCTTAGGGTTTAAGCCTTCTCCCCAAAAGTCTCCTTCATGTAGAGAGTGAGGTTTATTTATTGATTTTGAGAGTGACATGCCTTGCAAATATCAAGAAGATACAAGACAAATTTAGAGTATTCTATCGAACGATCCATATTGATTCCCTCGATCTTGGAGCATTCTCTCTCAATGAGTAAAAAAAAATGAGAGGTTCACAGTTCGACCGGTCGAACCGAATGACATAATTAATTTTAATATTATTAAAATTTTTAAAAATTAACATAATAATATGACAATCTAACTTTAAAGACAAATCTATCCTATCATATATATCAACTATCCAAACTAAGAATGAGTTGAATGTTTAAAATCACACATTATGTTATATATTTAGATATAATTTATACATATGATATAATATAATCATTAATATAATATAAATATATGTGCATTTAATAATATTTATAAATTTTTTTAAAAATAGAAAATAACATTTACAAATATAATATATCATTTAAGAATTAATATATATATATATATATAATATATATATATATATATTTATTATATATAGATATTTAAAATGATATATAAATTTATAATATTAAAAATTATATTTAATTCTTATAATATAACATTATATAAATTTATAATGTAACTTTAAAAAAATTCCTGCGCCAACTAGTCAAAATTTGTAGTCCAATTAAGCCTAAATTCATATTCTAATTCATGTAGTATTCATGCAACTTTTTTTGTCCTACGTCCTAAAAGTTTGAGCTAGTTGTTCTTTAAACCTTTAAATGTAAATGTGAAGTACACTTTTTACTAAACACATTATGTGAGATACGTGATATAACAGCATATAATTATGGTGAATTAATTATCATTATTTTAAGAAAATATTTAAAATTTAAAAATTTAATAACTAAAATATATTATTTAAAATTTAATTAAAAGAAAATTAATTTTTTTTATAGAATCCAAAATTAATTTTTTTATAGAATCCGCCGATTCTTTCCAACCTGGACTAGTTCATCGGTTAAATCACCCGTTTTTGTCGGTTTTATCCGGTTCAACTTGTTTCTACTGTTTCAATTCGGTTCGACGCGAAGCTGATTTTTAAGCTGGATTGGACTGGCTATCCGACCGGTTCTTTGTTGAATCGATCGGTCTGATTCGATTTTTAAAACTATGATTAAAACTATTATAGATTAAAGAACATTGGACTTATGGGCTTAAGAATCCATGCATGTTGCATATTAAACATGAGCATCAACGCCAAGGTAAAGAAGCATGAGTTTAAATTACAATAAGTTATAACCAAAAAGAAAATTAGTACAATTGAACTAAGGGTTCGTTTGTTTGGGCTTAATTAAGCCGTTTCCAGTTCTAATCGAGAAAAACGGAACAACGCCGGTTCGGCCGAAAGCGCTGGTTCGGTTCGCAGTACTCGTGGTATTTATGCCTGATAGCCTTCCACCTTTCTCCTTACCCTCTTATCTCTCTCGCTAGCCGCCTCCTATGCCTTGAAGTTTTCCTCTGCAACGCCATCGCGGCCTTCGGGTATGCTTGATCTTCATTCTCCCTCTATCTCAATATATGATGTTCCACGCTGTTATAATTTTTGTGTGCTATCCCGATTCCCGAACAGTTTTTTTCCCTGCGTAGTTAGGTTAGATTTAGCGATATGTGGTCTATCGCAGACTGGTTTGAGAGTTAGTTATTGTTGTGGATTTCTAATTGATCTTTGTTCAAATCGGTTTTGATATTGTATTGAGGATATGAGACATGTTTCTGGTCCGGTTGAATTGGTTACCCGGGTCTTTTAGGGTTTCGGGAATTGGGTTTTCTGAGATCAGGCTAAGCTTTTATTAATTTATACGTGGATCTTGTGGTTTTCGCTGAGTAAGTTTGTGGTCATTTTGTCTTGAATATATGGTGGACGATTTGGGTTGGTGAGATGATTAGATGTTAGATACGTTTAAAATATGTTGATCTCTTATCATCATCATCATTAGCATTATCCTAATTATTTGGGTCTGGATGAATCCTCATTTTGCATCTGTTTCATTGATTTTTGTTTCAGATGTTAAACATATTGTTCACATTATTATTTTGATCAATTTTGGTGGGTTGGCAGTGGTAGCATGTTGAAGAGAAGGGAAACAAATGCTTGTTGGTGGTTTGAGGTGTTACGGTGGATGTATTGGAGCAGTGGGCTGATAATTAGGGTTGAGTTTCAAGGGTTTCTTGGTGGAAGCCAAGCGGTAGTTTTGGGAGTAAATTATTTGAAGGGGTTTGTAGGTGGAGTCTTTGGTAATGATAAGGGAGGCTATGAATGTGGGCTATAAAGGGGTATTAGAGTTGTAGGGATTGAGGGAGGTGGACGGAAGGCTTGGACGGTGATAGAAGTTAATTGGGGTTCGTTGGATGAGTTTAAACCCTAGAGTGGTTGCTTAGGTTTTATTGCAGGTCAATGGGAAGGGAGGATGGTGGATAGGGGTGTCAAAATTGGTTTTGGTATCAGTTTCGTGTCTAATCCGAAATTTACCTTCCCTCAATTGACCTGCTCTCTTTCCGAGACCAACCAACCTTAAGATCCAACCCGAACCCAACTTGATTACACAAATGGGTCAGAAATATGAACCTAAACTTGACCAGCTCCAAACTTGAGTCGACTCGACTTGACGAGTTGACCCATGTGAGCGCAGAGCAGGCGAGCATTGAGCGCAATTGCAAGGCTGCTAGCGTGATGCGGTGCAGGCGGGACGTGCGAGGTTGCCAATGCAAAGCGGTGTGGGTGCAAGGTTGCTAGCCACGAGCGCGATTTGTGCTGGTGGGACGCGTGAGGCTTGGGCCATTTCCGAGTTATCAGGTTGACCCAGCCCCGACCCGTTTGTTAAACGGGTCGAATTGAAACCGGATTTTTCGAGTCGGGTTCGAGTCAATTTTCGGGTCATTTCATAACTTGACACCCCTAAGGCTAAAGGTGGATAGTATGAGAAGTTATGGGACATTTCTTGTTGTTGCTGGGGAGTAGAGATCGATGACTATTATTGGAGACTGGAGAGATATGCTAAACAAATTTATGAGAGACAAAATCAAACATAAAAGAAATAAATTTTGAACTCACCCAATTCCTAGGTTAGGATTGACAATTGAGCTTCTACTAAGGGGGTTTGCAACAAGCAAACTTTAAGATACATTCAATAATATGAAATTGAAGTGCATGATGTCCTTTTATAAGAAAAGAAAATAAAAATTACATCACTTATTGATTAGGGTTTTTAGCCAAGCCAAATATGGAAGTAGTGGTTCCAATATGCATGTATTCATGTTGTCCATGATTGGAGCTGCCAATCAATACAATTTGAAGGGAGTTTTTACTTGTTTTCCAAAATTCCCTTGCTTTAAAAATATATGAGTCTACCATGCCTTCTAAGGAAGGCAGAGTGGTCTTATTAAATAAGCACTTAATTGGATTCCAAGGGGAGGGGGAGGGGTCAACCAGGCTTTATCTTATGTCCATGCTTTAAGTGTTAGAGTATTGATGATGAAGATGATTTGAAATCCAGATGCAATGCTCTAACTTGTGCTTTGATTATGTCTTTGTGTTTCAACAAACTTTTATCAATGTGGTTTTAGATCTACCTAATCATATCTTCCATAGACATCTCTTCAACATTTTTTATAATATAATCATTTAGTAATTTATTCTTCTTTGTTTTGCCACCCATTCATTTTGTAATATTTTCATTTTGTGACATTCAACTTATAAATTGATTATTTTTGTATGGCCCAACATTTAGATCTATGCATCATCATTGACCAAATTTTATTTGTTAAATTATATCTTAGATGTAGACCTAATCAACCCTTATTTCAAATTTAATTTTAGATTTAACGTTTTAAACATACTTGTTAATGGTAAATGACACACCATGGCGCGGCGCACGCCATTTTGAACATGTCGCAAACTATAAGGTTTACTTGAGATAATTAATGTTTTAATAGTAACAGGAGAAATTGGAGCAATTTGGTTAACTTTTTCAATGAAAATTAAAAGGATATCAATTGATTCGCGAAATGTTTGGGTAGTATTCAATTACAAGATTTAGTTCAGTGAGGAAGTTCAAAAGGTTTGCAAGGAAAAGAAACTTATAGTGTGGAAAAAGGTAAAAACTAACAAGAGATGATGATTAAGAGGAAGCTAAAAGTTTTGCAAGGTGAATTAAAAAAAAAAAAACAAGAACAAGCCTTTATCCCCCAATGTGGGGTCGGCTACATGAATCCTTTTTCTCCATTGTGTCATGTTAAGAGTCAAATTCTCATCTAAATCTAATTAAAAATGTCATTTCTAATATTTTATAACCAAGTCTTTTTATGTCTTCCTCTACCTTTCTTATTGTAAGTCAAATCTGCAAGGTGAATAATATGTAAAATAAAATCTATTAACTTTTTCAAAAAAATATTGGATGGCTTAAATAAAATAAGATTGAGATTAGGGGTGTCAATTCGGGTTTACGGGCCGGGTTTGGGCCGAACTCGACTTGATCCGGGCTTAAATGGGTCGACCCGAATTCGACCCGTTTAGCTAAACAGGTTCGAAATTAGAACCTGAACCCGACCCGCCAACCTGCTAGTAATTTTTTCAATTTTTTTTTCTTTTTACTTAAGCAAATTATTGAAAATAAGATAAACAATAAAATTTAAATTGTATTCACAAATTCTTATAAGTTTAAAAAATATATTATAATTTTCAATTTACAAATAGTCAAATACAACTTAACTAAACAACTAAAACATGTATAAAGCTTAATTGTTCCCTTGCACTCTTTCAGTCCCATTGCTGATGGCTCCATGCATAAATGCATAATCATCAATTGCTCACCATTCACCTATAAAGAACCTGCAATGTTCAAAAGAAAGAAAAAACAAATAAAAGCAATAATTCATTAATTTCTACTTGCTAGCAATCAAAGGCCAAAGCCTTAGGCGCAGGGTGAATCTAGTAAAGAAACATCAGCTACAACAACTCCAAAAATTGTGCCTTCCAAAGTTACAAATTGGTAATATGACTTTAATCAATTTAATTTAATAGTATCTGCTCAAGCCATAAAAATCGCTTATACCAATTTATAAATTGGTTGCATCTAAATGTGTGTTGCTACTAGTGTATAATTTCACCAAGTTCTTCATTATAAACATTAAAAATTTAAAACCAACCAACCCAACAATAGCAATGCAGAACTACAACATACAACAATCAACAACAGAAATATGAAACAGAACCGCAGAGGCCAACAACACTCACCAGCAGAAAAAACCAACAGCAGGCAACAACTCTGCAACTGGCAGCCACTAGCCCAAGTGTCCAACAACACTCAGTAATAGAAAAACCAACAGCAGGTAGCAGCTTTGTAGCTGGCAGCCAAGTGCCCAAACAACATTACAACACTTCAGTCTACAGCAGGCACCACCGCACCAGGCAGGTAAAACAACACTTCAGTCTACACTCTACAACAACATAAAAATTAATAGCAGAAAAAAAAGAATGCATATAGCCTCAAAGGCCAAATAATCAATTTGCTTCATTTATTTTGTTTCTTGCTATTTTCTATGAAGAAATGTTGCATTCACATCCATTTGCTCAAGCTCCATATTGAATTGAATAATTATGGCTAGCAGGATTGGAATTGATATGTACCTCACAATTGAAGAGAATTGATTTTTTAGTCCACCCCTTGTGAGAAGCCCCTTACAACCAATCTTGCTATGAATATGATTTCTTCTACTTCTTTTCTTTTGAACAACCATTTACAACTCGCTAACTTTTGGTGATTTGATTTTTCTACCAAATTCCAAGTGTTCTTTTGCCTAAATGACAACATTTATTCATGTATTTCTTGCTTCCATTGATTTCTCTCCATACTTTCCGTGGTTTCTTCATAAGATACCGGCTCATCTTCATTCAGCTAATATGCCATAAGGCACATGTGATGAGATAACATGTATGTACCTTTGTGGTACTTTGACATCAGACCAAGGTCTATCGCTTGCCAATTCATATGCTTCTTTGCACTTCTTCGATGATCTGTTGCCAATATTATTCAATATATGCCTCATTATATTCTTGATCATTGACATCATGACTTTCTTAGCCTAGTTGCTTCATTTTAAGCTCCTTCGCCTTCCTTGCATCCATTGATTTGTTATGAACCTTGCAATCTAAAATAAAATAAACCAATTAATTTCTCATCAAAGATAACATCCCTATTTATCATGCATTTTGTAAAACATGGCTCTAAAAATCATAATTATATCCTTTGACATCTTTGGGATAACCAATAAAAATGTACCTCACCACACGTGGTTTGAGTTTTATCTGCTTAATGTGAGTCTAGGCTTTGTATCAAAAGATCTTTAGTACTAAGTAATCAGCTGGCTTTTTAGTTCAAGTTTCATGGGGCGTCTTGAAATCGATTGTTGAAGATGGGTAGCTGTTGATCAAGTTAGAACTTGATCTTGCAGCTTAGAAATTTTTAGGTAACTCAACATTTATCATCTGACATCTCACCTTTTCATGAAGAACCTTTCTTCTGCCAACCCATTTTGCTGTAGAGTCATTCTTACTTTGTAATAAATGACTTGCTACACCTTGATTCACAAAATTTTGTGAATTTATCAACAGAAAATTCTAGCAGGTTGTCTGTACTTTAGCTTGATCACCTTTTTGCAAATTTGAGGTTCAACTAGTTTCTTCCATTTTTCCAATTTCTGCAACGCCTCATTTTTTTGCATTATGAAATACACCTATATCATTCTTGGATGATCATCAATTGTAGAGAAAAAAAAGAAGATTATACCACCATGTTCTCTAGTCAAAGAAAAAAGATTGCCCCCAAAGATTTGAATGGATGTAGTTAAGAACTTAATATGTCTTGTGCTTAACAGATGAAAACTCAAGCCTTTTTACCTTTCTTATATCACAATGCTCTGAAAAATCAAGTTTTTCATTCTTCTCACCACATAAAAAACTTTATTTATGATGTTATTCAAGCTTTCTTCTACTTGTCCAAGTCTATGATGGCATATTTGAGTAGTATTTACTGAAATGGTTGTGTTCATTGACCCTCAATGATTGTTCTTCCAATTAAGGAACACAATCCATTATTCAGGACTCCCTAAATGGCAATAAATGAGCCTATGTAGACCCTTAAGCTTTTACATATTTAGCTTTATCCAGGACTTCTAGAGAAATTAAAATTTTCTTAAACTTTCATGCATGCCTCACTTGTTGAACTTGCCTTTAAATACCATCGAACATCTTTTTTCTTTTGCCAATTCCTATGATCTTGCAAGCCTTGTTTCTTTCAAGCATAAAAAATATTACCATCCAATAATTGCAATGATTCAAACCAATACTTGTTTGGATATATGTCGAAAAAGCATCCATAATCAAGGATTCATGCAAAAGTCGGAAGATGATCAACCTTTTTTTTGTTTTCTTAGACATCTTGAGGTGGCCTTAATTGTGGTGAATGAAGCATTTTTTTTTTTGAACTTGGATTTGAATTTTGATTGGTGCTTGTTGCTGAAATCACATTTGTCCATTCGTCCATAAACTATTTGGACATGCGCAATATATTCTTCCTTTTTTTCCCTCCATTTGCAATTCCTTGGAAGTTGGAAATGAAGGCTAATCTCGCTTATGCCATAGAAAGAGTGGTTTTCTTATATAATGTAGTATCTATAAAATATTCATACCTTGGTTGGCAAAGATCTCAAAGGCATTATGGTTAGATTCTCATCCTTGATTTTGGATTTAACACTTTAAGATATATCATGAATTTGTTGAAGTCCTCCAAATATTTCTTTAGTGATCTGGAATCATCCATATGCGAGGTGTGCAACATCTTCTTGAGATACAACTGATTTGCAAGAGATCTCTTTAAGCATAGAGATTAAAGTTTCTCAAAAATTCCAATGGATGATTGTGCTTTTGCAACATCTTGCAACATGTCCAAGATTGAGTAGAATAGCATCGTGGGGTCTATTAGCTTAGATTGCTCTTTGCATCAACTCATTGCAATGCCTCATCTGACAAAGCTAGCCATGCCGCATCAATAGTTTGGTGAACAAGTAGCTATTTCATTTTCGGTCTGCAAAGACTGAAGCCATTTTGCCCAGTGAACTTGACTATTTCCAATTTTGCCAACACCATTAGGATTTCAATTTTTGTGCGTTGATGCCAATTGTAAGAGCAAGAAGTGATTGGTGAATATTACATTTTTTACCTTCTTGATAGAAACCCTTGCTAAAATCACAGTTTATCTACCTTATTAGTTTTGTTCTCCCATGATTTTAGTTCTTGAATGTTGCTCTTAATTGTTTGTGCCTTTTGGTTTAACCTTCTTTATAGAAATCAAATTTTGTTCTAACATGTATTCCATACTTGCTTTTCAGAACAACAATGGATCTTTTAGCTTTGTGGATTATATACTACAACAACTTTTGGTTGAAGCAGATGGAATAGATAAAACAGACGTGCCTGTGCCCGTGGAGTCCTCTGTTCTTGAATGTAGGATGGAAAAGGGTAAAAGAAAGATAAATAGAAAGAGGGAAAAAGAAGAGAGAGAGCATCTAATTGGATTATTTTAGAACTTATAAACAACTATAAGATGTCATGGGTAGTTATAGAATTCATAACTAAGGCTTCATTAAGGCCACACAAGGAGGAAACACTATTTTAAAATCCTAACATACAAGTTTCCATTAATTAAAAATAGTTGGGTTAGTTATCAAGATTTACAATAACTCAATAACAATAAATAAAATCATATCAATAATAATAATAGTAATTAGGGGTGTAAAAAACGGGTTGCGGGTCGGGTTCGGGTCAAATCCGATAATGACCTGTTGCTATTCGACACGACTCGAATCCAACCCCTTTTTTGCAAATGGGTCAGATTTTACAACTCGGATCTGACCCGCCAAAACCCGAGTTAACCCAAACTGACACGTTGACTCAGGGCCGGGCAAAAATCCATGGCGTGCCGCTGTGCGCGTTTTCTGGTTAGGGCTTGCTGGCGGCCGGCGGGCTAGGCATCGTAGGTGCGCAAGCGTTAGGCAACGTGGGCAAAGCTGGGTCTAGCGCATGCAGAATTAGGGCTTGATAGTGGCCGGCGGACGCGTGAGCGATAATCTGGTTCGATGCTTAAGTCCGAACTCGTGCGGGCTAGACACAACAAGTGCTAGACGACATGGGTGAATGGTGTAGTGTAGGTGTTAAATATGTAAATCCTTTCGTTGTGAGTGTTATATATATAAATTCCCATTTTTCTTGAGCCGTTGCTTTGCACCAAAATTTGAATTTCTAATAAGAACATGCTTACAAGAAATCTAATCATTTGTTCAACTTTAAGATAATATTATTCAAACTGCTAATTCTAAGTCGTTATTTTATTAATCTATCAATTGTGGGATGAAGCATTGCCAATTTTAAGTGTCTTCTGAAGTTAATTATTATTTACTTGTTTTTGAATGCAGAACTTCTTGTTTTTAACCGCTGACTTAATTCTCATTGGTACATGTAGGAAAAGTTTGACTTGAGTGGTGGTTGCGGTAACTAGCTTGAAACATCAAATTTAAATGGCTGGATTTGTACAGGGAGATTCTTCACACCATGGAATGCTAAAAAACGGTCAAGAAAATAATTCTCAGGAAGAACCTCATGATTATTCGGCCAGATGGTATTTTTCAAGGAAGGAAATTGAAGAAAACTCTCCATCAAGAAGAGATGGCATTGATCTGAAGAAAGAGGCATATTTTCGGAAATCATATTGCACTTATTTGCAGGATCTGGGCATGAGACTTAAAGTGTAAGTATAAGTATTTTATTTAATCCTTTTTTGTTTTTGTGTGGTCTAATATTCTCTCCTCGTGCTGTGACATGTGCTATAATTTATAGCAGATTCTTTTGCGTAATCATCTTTCTTACTCTTTTCCCAATTCTAAAAACTCTCTGCCAACTATTTAGAGTTTTATAAATCCTCTTTCAGTCACTTGTTTTTGGGCATTTCATGAGGTGTTAACTCTATCTTTTAGAAGTATTTTTGCACTTTCAATTTGGCAAATATTATTTTTTTTTGTGAAATCATGTTTTGGATAAATTGTGCAATTTTTTTTTGGTCTAAACTGCAGTTCATAACTAGTGTAGCACGCAGGAAGGAATGATTGGATGACGAGGATTCAGAACGCTGACCCAGTTAATGATGATAAAGATGAATAATCATGATATTATAAATAAGCTGAAAATTTTAGCTTCTTAGATATTAAACCGAATATGGGGTATCCTTAATGCTTTCATCCAGGATTGACATTAAGAACTTAAAATAAATATTGAAAAGGATTAGGGAGAATTGGTTTTTTATTATTCCTCTACTTGTGAAGTGTTTATAAAATCCTAGGAGAGGTTTTAATATGAACATTCAAATCAGAAAAGAATAATTATAATAATCAATGAATTGATGAGTTGGAATAATGATATAATTTATAGTAAATATAGTGGTCCACGGATTAATAAGGTGACCGTAAATATCCCATGATTCATTGAGTTGGCATGAAGTGAATAAAGGTGGATGATTGTTGAACTTGATAGAATATTGATGGAGGATGAATTAATAAAGTCAAAATTCATGGAGATTGATTTTTCCACACTCCCCTTTAAGTGAATGAGTGAGTGTTGTCCATTCATAGCTTGTAAGTCAATTTTTGAAATATTGCTCTTGATAATCCTTTAGGAGAATATTTGCAAGCTGGCCATTTGTGATGCAAATGGAGTGTATATTAGACTACTAATTAGCTTCTTTTTTATAAAATGCTTATTCACTGCAGTATGTTTTATTCAACCATTTTGCATGAGATTTTGAGCAATATTGATTGCTGACTTGCTGTCCCAATAGACTTTCATAAGATATTTACTTCAAACTTTTAAATCTTTCAAAATAATTTCAGCCATTATAGTTTGTAGATTTATAGTGCCATATATTTAAATTGGGCTTTTGCATCAAATTTTGCTACCATATTTTATTTTGATTTCTCCAAGTTATGAGGTTGTCTCCTAATTTTGTACAATATCCTGAAGTTAACCTCGTATCAGCTATAGATCCTATATAAGCTACATTTGTGTTATGATTAAGTGTTAGATGCTCCCCCATTTTGAATAAACTTTTTACCTAAGTTCCTTTCAGATATTATAGAATAAAATGAAGAGCCCTAAGGTGTGATTTTTTTGTATCTCATTCTTGAGCATTATCTTGGTGATCCTCGCGAACCATATGCTCTTTGAGTTTGTTTCAATCAATATAGTGCCCTCTTTAGTTTACCTATCTTTTGTTCTGTGTTTGAGCCAAACTCTGATGGGACCTTCATATATGCCTCCTCTAGATTACTATATAAGAAAGCATTTTTCGTGTCAAATTATTGTATTTCCAATATTTGTTATCTGCTAATGATAAAAGAAGTCAAACTATTTTCATTTTAGCATAGGAGAGAAATTTTTAAGAGAATCAATCCCATATGTTTGAGCATTGTCTTTTGCCACTAGTTTGATTTTATATCTTTCTAATAAACCATCATGAGTAAAGAAACATCTACACACATTTAGTTATTTTCTTTTAGTAATGTCAACAATTTTCATATTTTATTTTTAAAAAGATTTTTATTTATTCTCTCATAGTACTATTTCAATTATCATTATTTAAAGCCTCAAAATAATTTTAATAATAGAAATAATATAGACGCTAATAAGGAAGGATTGATAACGATATGCAAAATTTTTGTACAGTAAGAATAAGCGTGAGGGATTTTCATTTAAAGTTCTTTTGTTTGCAGGCTCATGGTTCTCTTAGCATGCTTAGTGCCATGGACTGATTCGGTTGATTAAACTTATGCCAATTGAGATGCCTTTCTCCTTATGTAAATCTATTGTGGTTGAGCCGAAGTGATTTTGGTATAAGCTTGATCTATGTTAGAGTGGTTGGTTCGAGAGTATAGGCGTTTGTTGGGGTGAGGGGTAATAAAGGGCAATTTAGGAGAAAAATTCATTGTGAATGATATTTCTTCCTTAAGGTGAATAATAACAACGTAGAAATCTGCTATATAGAAAGTGACAATAGCAGACTTATACACTTTTCTTGTGGGGAATGATAGTAGTTGCACCCTTTTGAGTGGAAGATTAGCCAACAAAATCACATTTAATTGTTCTTGGATCAAGTTTTTCTCTATTTTGAGGGTGTGAATGGACAAATAAAACACTGTTAAATATCTTGGGAACAATATCATTTGAGCTGAATTGAGGAAAGAATTTGGCTAGCAATTGAGTAGGACTCTTGAGACCATGGATCGTTATTGATAATCAGTTTATGATATGGGCGATTGTTAAGGCAACTTCCTTCCATTATTATTTGAAACATTTATTTTAAAAGAGATTCTTATGTTGGCAAGTAAGTCTCCATTCTTTTGTTCATTGCCCCATGTGCTGGTTTGTGTATACACATTGCACAATAAACTCGTTTATTATTATTTTCCTTAGAAATAAGGAAAGAGAATGGTTAAAAAAGTCTTTGGCATTGTTGGATCTAACTTTTAATTTTAATATTGAATTCTTTTTGACCATATTAAAAAAGATGGAGAAGATGATACTTACATCACTTTTAGCATTTAATAGAAAGTTCCATGACAAACAAGTGTAGTCATTAATAAAGTACACTAATCATTGATGCCCAGATACGCCAGGCGTGAATGGTCCCCATATGTTAGTATGGATAAGAGAAAAAGTGACTAGATTCATATTTTGTCATTGAAAAATTATTACACTTGTATTTTGTTAATGTACATGTATCATAATAAATTCTTTAACATTAATATTTTTAAATAATAAATGAAATGTAGTTTTGAGAATAAGAAAATATGGATGACCAAGATATAAGTGTTGGAGCCATATCATTATGTACTAGATTTAAAGGTTTCAAAAAGAAAATATAATACATTAGGTTGGTTGGAGCTTTCTTTGTCATTGCATTCCTTAAGATGGTAGATATTATCTCTTTCTTTGTTATTAAATTCATTTCAATCAATCTTCTAAAGAGGGCTGCATCTTTATTGCATTTCATTTGGTTGCATTTATAATAATCCGTCTTTCACTAAAGGTCTTATGGTAGATTGGAATATTTCGTGACAGATCGTTCTACTTCCTTTGTGGCTAGATCTTAATTTTGATTTCATAAATTTAATATTGAATTGTTTTTGACCATATTAAAAAAGATGGAGAAGATGATACTTACATCACTTTTAGCTTTTAATAGAAAGTTCCATGACAAACAAGTGTAGTCATTAATAAAGTACACTAATCATTGATGCCCAGATACGCCAGGCGTGAATGGTCCCCATATGCTAGTATGGATAAGAGAAAAAGTTACTAGATTCATATTTTTTCATTGAAAAATTATTACACTTGTATTTTGTTAATTTACATGTATTTTGTTAATACTTGTTCTCATCTTTCAGCAAAAAGTTTAGCAGTAGGAATCAAAGAAAGGAAAGTGCGCATCTAAAGTTTGAGCATCCAAGACTTTACAAGAAAGCTATGGATTAAAAACAAACTCTAGAAGCTGCCACACCCACCTAAAAAGATGTGAACGTGGTCTAGTGGGTTTAGAAATATGGGTCTTAGGTGAGCTTGGTGTGGGTGAGCGTGAGGGAGTGAGTGTGAGAGGGGTCATAGAAAGCAAGATGGTGGGTGAGCGATGGAATTGAGTAGTATTTTTTGCGAGTTAAAGGAGTTGGGTGCTATCATAAGCAAGTTTTTAAGGACGGTATGCTTAAGGTGAGGTGCTCTTGCTTTGATTATTAGGAGATAAGATTTTATGCATCTTATTCACTAGAGATTCCCCTTATTTATTTTTGTGGGATGAGTGCAATGATCTACGGTACACCAAATAAATGCACACAACTCTCTAAATATAGAGTTCTTTTCTATTATAATATTTGTCTACATTTTAACATGGTTTATATAGGCCAATAAAATATTTGAGTAGGCCAAGAAAATATTTGAGTGGACACGTTTCTTTTGGTATTTGTTTGAGAGGTTAAAATGGATAATAGTTGACATTAGAATATTTTATGGTGTCTATGATTGGGTGTTATGTGATGGCAGCAGGCGGCTGAAAAATAAATCGTCTCTATCAAAATTTATGGGAATTGTCAAGAGATGATAATAAATTTAATGTTTGCGTTAGTTTGTTATTCAATAGAAAAAAAATAGGAAATGGACTTTGATACCAAAGGACACAACAAAATATCAGAGGGATAAACAATTAATGAATGGGTAAAGGAATGTAATATTTGAAGGGTTGGAGTAGAATGACCATGCACTCTAGAAGTGGATTGGGTGGAGAGGATGGAGATGGGAGTAAAGCTCATAAATGATTATTGAACCCTAGATCATCATCATCATCAAATTACATAAATGTGAAGTTGTGAACCACTTCACATGTATAATACTTTGCTTCACACTAGGGTTGACAATATTTGGCTCAATATAAAACCCAACTTGGACTTGATATGGAAAATTCGGGTTTGGGTAAAATTCAATTAGGTTTAGGTCAGCTTAAGTGCATTGAAAAAAAAAATGGTTGAGTTCAGATCAACTTGAAAAAAATGATTTTGCTATATGATTCCTTTTTTATATTATTAAAAATTCATGAAATTCCAAAATTTTGAAATTTTTTAGGTTGTAATGTCCAATTTGAATATTGTCATTTTGAGTCGGCTATCACTAATCCATCACAATTTAAATATTTTTTTGTTTCAGGTTGGGTTGGCTTTGGGTTTGTTCTAGTAGAGTTTGGGTAAAGATTTTGACTTGTTTAATAATCGGGTCTATTTGGGTTGGCAGTATTCATGTTGGTTCATTTTTTAGTCGGATCCGAACTTCACACATGAACCCGAATTAGAACCCTGCTTTACAAATTCTAAAGGAGGGAGGCCTTGGCTGAATAATCTGAGGTGTAGCTGAAGTTTTCATTTTTTATTTATCAAGAATTGTTTCCAAATTACATTTGTTTATAGTAATAGCGTTATAATCCAATGAACAAGTTCTTTAGAGGTACTTTTAGACATGCAAGGTTGCCAGGGAAATGTGATATATATATATATCAAAATACATATTTTTATTAGGAACATATTATGATAAGAGTTTTGGCATGTTGTTGATGTTGTGAGTAATTGCATGTCTTGTATGATTTGTAGAGATGCTGAATCTTTTTTCTTTGCAGACCGCAGGTGACAATAGCAACTGCGATAGTATTTTGTCATCGCTTTTTTCTTCGCCAATCCCATGCAAAGAATGACAGAAGGGTTAGTGTTTCTCATTCTAGTTCATGTTTTTTATTTTTGGTTATAATTCTTGTCTTATATTGTACTAATGGAAAGAGAACTTTTCTAAAATTTTAGCTTTATGTTACCTCTTAATTAACCATTGTCTTTTATGGTAGTTATGCTGCATGATTTGAACTTCTTATAAGATTCTAAATTTAGCTGGCGTTTTATACTTCATATATTGTTCGGAGTTGTTCAATTGAATTTGAGCCAATATGGTCAGCAAAAAGTGAAACTTAATACTAACCCTAGCAGTGGATCCTTTTTTATTTTGAAATGATGAACAAATATATGAGAGGCATATGGATGTCAGAATGTTAGAAATTTTTTTGTGCCTATTTTCATATGGATGTAGAATGACAAGGTCAGGGAGGTATGGGGATCTGTCCAATCATAGAAAATTTTTTCAATGAAAATGTTGATAATAATAAGTTGAATCGCACTACTAGCATGTTGATTTATATGTTTTTTCTATGCTACAATTTTTTGTAGAAACGCTCAAGCTTACTGGGAAATGATTTAAATCTCACAATTATAAAATCTTATGTCTCCCTTCAAATTGAATTGTTTGAAGTAGTATGCAAACATGAGTAAAAAAAGTTATATTTCAATTCATTTTATGCATTTTATGAAAATAGTAGCAGTGCTAAAATCACCTATATTTGATGGCAAACATGAAAATTTTGAATTTTTATTTGAAAGCATAAAAATCATTATTTATTTGCATGCTGGTGAAATTGAAGATGTTTTCTTTTGCTAGAATAATTTGTTATACTCGATTATTTCCCATTATTGCTATTGTAAATAACAAATTTTGAAATTCATTTTGATGAAAATTAGCATAATATATTGGAGCTAGGGGTGTAAGTGAGCAAGCCAGCTCGCTAGTCGGCTCAAGCTCGCGAGCCGAGCTTATCGAGCCACGAGCTGGAGCTCGAACTTATACTCGAGCTCGATGAGGCTCGGCCCATGAACTGACTCGTAATTATTTAATTAATTGAATTATTTTACTTAAATTAATCAATAAATAAAATATTAATCTAATAAAATCAATGTAGATTAATAGTATCGGTTCAAAAAAAGCCGCTCTTTATTAATGATATGACAACAATTTAAAAAATTAAATAAAAAAAAGTATCAGTTCATATTTTCCCAATAAAAAATACTGGTTCACCGGTTTCTCTTTCCAAAAAATGCTGCTTTGGCTCTTCTGCCTTTCTCATGCAACAACAAAATATGCTTAATCTTCCCCGATGCCTTCATCTTCTCCCATGGAATCAGGTGAGGCTACTCGTGAGCCAGTTTATATTATCACGAGTCGAGCTCGAGTTGGCATTTTGGGCTCGACTCAAGTTTGTGCTCGAGTTTGAGCTCGCAATTTGATTGACGAGTCGAGCTCGAGTTAGGCATGACTCGAGCTCGACTTGACTCATTTACACCCGTACTTGAGCCTATTGCACTGGATTATTTCATGAAGTTACCATGGTAAATAACTAAATATAAATTCTTTGAAATTGATTTTATTGAAAATGAGCCTAGTTTGATTAACTGTAATATGTCTGGTTTCATTAAGATGGATAGATATAATTAATTGCTTTTGTTGAATTGAGGTAATTTACAGCATAAAATTGGCTTTAGGATGCCTGTGATGTGCTCAGAAAGCGTCATACCTTTTGATGTTGTCATGTGGTAGATAGGCCTTTCCCCATCCATTGTTCATAAATAGTGCTTCCCCGTCCATTGTTAATACAGGCCTTTGGTGTTATCGACTTCTATTGATGTGATGCAAACATGCGAAAACAAGAATTGCACTTTAGAGATTAATAAGAGGTTACTAACTTCGCAATGTTAACAATAAAGTCTAGCTTACTCAAGTAGAGTTCAAGAAAAATTCATGATAGATTATACCATGGTAATTGATTACACTTGAGGATTACAAGAGCCTTGCCAAATAATAACCAAAAGAAATCTAAATAATGCAAATAGCTATGATAAACAAAAGCCTCACGTTTAAAATATAGATCCTTCACCTTGAAGTCCTTCAATCTCTTGAGAGTGGTGGCTAGCGGAAGAGGATTGTAAACAGACTCAGCGATACCACTAGTAGACAGGTGATGCCGAGAGGGCTCGTCGCCGGGGAAGGAGTCGAAGTTGGAGAAGCGGGTGGATGGCTACGAATGGTCCAATCGTAGTCTGAAAATTGCCCGTCGATGACGGGCACAAGGATGGGGAGAATTCGATCCAAGTAATCTCCAATGGTGTCGTCGTGTTCAAATCCCACGTCGAAGAATGGAGATCGTAGAATGTTGATATTACCATAGGCGTCGAACACAAGTCCCCATTCAAGTTCAGGATCCGCCATGCATCCTCGCTCCGGGTTGAATGTGCCCAAGAGGGGGAAAAGAGGTGGCCGGTCTTGGGGAGGTGGAGGTGAGAAGGAGAGGAGACGTTAATTAGTGGGGGGGGGGAAAGAAAGCTGATTTTTAGTTCAGATTATAATTAGGGGGGAGAGGGAAGAAATTGATTTCCAATTTCAGATTTGAAATCTGAAATAAAATCTGAAAAAAAAAACTGAAATTACGTGATGAGGGGAAGGTATTTAGGAGGCATTTAAGAAGTGGTGATGTGGCAATTAAATAGAAAACAATAAGGGGGAGGTGGCCAGCCACATGGAGAGAGAGAGGGGGCTTGGTGTTAAGTAAAATGGGGCCCACATAGTTAACAAAGATTTAAATTAAAAAAAAAACTGAAAGATATTTTAGGTTTTAAAATATGGAAGTTTCCTAGTAAGAAGGCTATTAATTAAGATTAATTTGAATTTCAAATTCAAATTGAAATCTAATTAATTTGGAGGCCTCAAATCAAGGAACTAAATTAGGAAGGTAGTAATGGGCTTCATGAAAGGTGGAATTTGAATCCAGGGTTCCATGGGGAAGGCCGGCTGCAAGGGGGAGTCGGCGGGCTGGTGGGCTAGCCGGCGGGCTGGGCTGTCCAAGAGGGCCGGCGGCAGGAAGCAAAGGGGAAGGGAAGGCCGTAGATAGAATTCCTAGGGATTCCAAGGATACGACCCCAATTCCCCACAAATACCTTCAACCCGAATCTCCACAATGATGATTTGAACAAAAAGAGTAGGAAAAGAAAACCTAAAACTCACAAAGAGATCTAGTTTCTCCAACGAACTCACTAAGAGATCGAGGGTTGCACTCACAAAGAGAATATGAAATGTAAATTTTCATTCATCCAAAATTGAAATTACAATGCATGAGGCCTCATATAAATAGGCCAAAATGAAAAACAAGAAATGACACAAATGCCCTTCTGGGCTACATAAGCGACTCGATGCCCATAGGGGCAAACTAGGAAACAGGAAATACAATCATAAAATAAAATGCAAATAAATCAGAAGTAGAGGCTCTGGATCGTAGCCGTCGATCTGCGTCTCCGTCGATGGTACACGTGTCGAAATTTGATGTCCTCATCATCTATGTTTTGCAGAAATAAAACTCTCTGCTTATTAGCTGAAAAGTGAAGGTAGCTTGCTAATTGCTTATTGTTAATTTTTTGTTTCCTATGTGCATCCCATTATTTGAGGAAGCTTGATCATCAACACTAATAATTTTAGTTCTCTTGCATCTCTTTCTTTTTTATAGTGGTTGCATGCAGAATTCAAAATAATTCTGAACAAACTAATGTACTATCTTTAAGAAGAGAAACCCAAACTTATAATTGGATAGGCTTATAGATGTGGATAAGTTTGTCAATGTGTGCACTTTGCATTATCTACCTGTGAGGCGAAGAATTATTGATGATGGTACTCATCAAGAAGGCCAGATGCGTTGTGTTTCAGCGTGGGTGATCCAAGAATCAGATATGAATATGCTCTCACCAGTATATGAACTAGTACTGTTGTCTATGAGGACCATTGGTAACCTTAGCAGAGGTCTCAAAAATTTGTTGCAAATATCGGAGCAGTTGATAGGCTTAGTAGCATAAGAACAATAATTGTGCTTGTGGAAGAAGGTGCCCTGCTTGTGCAGAGTATAGCTTTCAATTTAGGAAGCTCTAAGTGTCAAAGTAAAAAATCTTTGATTTTGAGATATGTATTAAATTCTTTAGGTAATTTAATGAGCACTAGATTGTATGCTTCGATAGAGCAAAACTCTTTGCTTATTAGCTGAAAAGTGAAGGTAGTTTGCTAATTGCTTATTGTTAATTTTCTAATTCTTGTGCGTTTCCCATTATCTGAGGAAGCATGATTATCAACAATAATAATTTTAGTTCTCTTGCTTGTCTTCCTTTTTTATAGTGTTTGCATGGGGAATCCAAAATATCTGAACAAACTAATGTACTATCTTTAAGAAGAGTAAACTATTAGGCGGGCCCCTCCGGTCCTTACTTACTCTAGGCGGGCCCCACATGGAGTTAATTCAAGGGTTGGAGGGAAAATTTGAATGGAAAGGGGGGGAATTTGAATAGAAGGGCTGTTTAGGGATTTTGTATGGGGATGAGAGTTAAAGAGGGGGAAAGGGGGGAATTAGGTCCTCATCTTGAATTTGAATGAAAAGTTTGAGATCTCATTGTGTGCTTGGGCTCTAGGGTTTGCTAGAGACTTGTGGAGAGTTGTTCTTCCTCTCGAATCGAAGGACGTTGTATCTTTCTTTGTTTTCTTGCATCTACTAGTGAAGATCTTGCTTCGTTTCTCTTATTTCCACTGTTTGGTGCAAAAAAATCTGCTGCGAGGGTGCTGTCAAACTGCTGGGACAGCAGTTTTTCCTCTGTTTTTGTGCTAATCTTGATTAGGTTTGCTTGCGAACTCAAGTATTACCTTAGGGTTACTTGCGAACTCAAGTATTTCCTATCATAAACCCAAGCTTATAATTGGGTAGGCTAGGCTAGTGATGTGGATAAGTTTGCCAATGTGTATACTCTACATTGTTTCCCTAGGCGGCGAAGAACTACTTGATGTGGTACTCATCAAG